GATGAGACTCATTTTTTTACACCAGTATGCCTTATAGTTATCTTTCTATGTGGACAGTAGCATGAAAAGGATGGGAAAAACTAAAGTAGAGAGCTCTGATTAGGTAAGAAGAGATACCAATGCTTGTTCCTAAGGATGAATCAACATGCTCTGTTAAGAGTATACTCACTATCCTTGGTAGAACCATGACCATTCACTGGATTACATTACTAAATTAAATTAGGGTATTTTCCCACTCTTTTCTCCTTTCTTATATCACAAATCTATCTACTGAAATATACCAAGACTCTCTTTATAAACCTGCCCAGATAAAATGTAATTTATTAATAATTATAGAAATGTTGTGTTGCAACTTTGGCCTAATCATATTGTTGACTCTTGAGGGCAGGAATAATATCCCGCACTTGTTCAGTGTTTCTCACAGTGCCTCAATAAATATCTCTTGACTGATAGATATAGTAGTTGAACATGATTCAATATACTGAAGAGATGAGGCAAAATAATAAAGCATACAGTTGTGTGAAACAAAAAAATTAGTCGTCATCTGTGATTCACTTGCTTTCAGATATTCTTTCCACTTTCTCTTTCAAAGGTATTATTTAAATTTGAGTTAAAATCCTTTTATGCTTTATCCCCACTCTACTCCCTTCCTACAACACTTTGGATGGACACTGACTGTGAGTGAATGGTCATCAAGTTACCAAACAAAGAGAGGATGGAGTAGAAAAGCCAGACAAGTATTTGCAAGAACATCCCAACAAAATGCATCTTTGTGTGACTGGATTCTAAAGTCAAAGGGAAAAGAATTGCCCATTGTTTTGGACTGACATTTACCTTAGGACAGAAAATTAAAAGCTGGTCATACCATGTATTTCATTTTTTCAAATACACTGTTAAAAAATCAGACTATAAGACTGATATAAACAAAAGAATCCCTCAAACTATGAAATAATAATACTACCTGACAATTTATAATCAAAAACTAGGTCTTTTCCCCCAAAGAAGTGTATCTTCTTACTACATTAGGCATCATTAAGCAGCACAAGTCTAAGGCATATTATTGTTGCCTTGAAACCATAACACATCAAACAAGTTAAGACTGCTCTGGGTATTCTGCAAAATTCAAGGAAGTGTACTTCAGATCCCCCAAGTGCCCTTTGTCAAAGTTGTAAAAAAGCTCTCTGTTGCTAATGGATATCCTTCCATTTGATGTGTCTTAACTTGTTAAGGGATTTTAGGGTTCCCCAAACATAGATAGCAACTAAACAGCATTTTGCTTTACCCCCACACCATCAAAAAACAAAACAAAACAATTCAATGGCAGAAGCCACAACCATGTAGATAGGCACCAATTTCAAAATGTCCTTCCCTCTACCAAGGGCTGGAGAGGCAGAGCTGTACCATTAAGTAGCAGAAGGAGAAGGTTATCTCTAAAAGAAAAGATTCCTACCCAGATTTGGAACTGTTAGCAAGAGAATCTTTCTGCATGTAGTTCTTTGAACTGACTCATTTAGATAGGAAAAATCTGCATCAAAATTTTTCATCCCTGATATCTTTACATATAAAAATATTCAACATTTAGAATTTCCTATCTCTCTTCACTTGAAATTATGTTACTACACTTAGGTGCAAGAAAGGAAAACTTACCGAGAATGACTTAAGTATAAAGCTTGACGATGAATATCTTCTGGGTCTATTTCTACAGGATTTATTACAGCTAGTTGATCAATAGACCATCTAAATTTCCCTGGAGTCTTAACAAAAGAAAGTGAGCTTATAAGTAAAAGCAAACTAAAATAGTTCATCAAAATGCTAACCAATGTCACCTTGAAAAATAATGTGAATGGTTATAATGTCTAAAAATATTTTAAAGCCCAAATTTTAAAAACTAACTTTACCACTAAATTAAATGGCAGGTGGTAATCAAATCACAGTAAATCAACTGACTTGACTGTATCTCACTTAAAATATCAAAATCTTCTATGTGAGTGATCTTAAAAATTATGTAATGCTAGAAAAACCACAACAGAGTAATAAAGGCATAGAATTTCTAAAATTAGCACTCATCAGTGATACACCACCCACGTAAAAGTAAAAATCTCTTAGTTATCAAAGGTCTTTACATTCACTAGGAATGAACTGAAATTAAAGTCCTAACTACAGAAGTGGCTGCAAAAGCTTATAAAATAGTTGATGCTTAAAATAATAATGAATGGCAACTGATTTTGCCCTTTTGTATTCAACTATCCTATCCAGCTGCCCAAAAGCTTATCCAAATCCTAATCTGTAATTAGGAATATATTCTAGACAAATTCATGCCTAAAAAATACAAGATGTTATACCGTCTAGCTTTGAGGATTAAGTTAGTTCTATTCCATTATTTCATTTTATTAGGACTAAAAGGCAACTAAATTTTAATTCAACTCAGTTAAAAACCATGAGGTCAGAGTAATGAAATGACTCAATATAAACTGCAAAACTGCGTGACTTTTCCTCTAGTACATACCTGCTCATTGATTGTCCAATCTGATATGGAAGTGTAGTAGAAACAGCCACCCAGTTTGCAGGTTTTCTAGGTAACTTACTAGACTGAAAGATCAGACTTCGAAAGAACTTCTCCAGTGTCGCCAATAACAGTAAGAATAAAATAAAGTAATGAAGCCTTCCCTAATGTCCCAAAGAGCACTTTCCCTTCACGTCACCATTGTGCTAATCACTAATTATAGCACATATCACACTGCTTTGCAATTGTTCATTTGGTTGTGTCTATCCCATTAAAGTAAGAGTTGGCTTCTCTTTAATAGCCTGCAAGCTAAATATGGTTTTGAGATTTTTAAATTGTTGAAAAAAACGCAAAAGAATATTAGTATTTCGTGATATGTGAAAATTACATGAGCTTCAAGTTTCAGTGTCAATAAATAAAGTTTTATTAGTACCTAGCCACATTTATTTGTTTACATGTTGCCTATGTTTAAGCATTGGCTGATTTTTGAACACAAGGCAGAAGTGAGTAGTTGTGACAGTGACCAGATGACCTGCAAAACCTAAAAATTTACTGTCTGGCCCCTCACAGAAAAGTTTGCTGACCCCTGCGTTAGAGTATCAACTCCTTGAGGGTTTGTTCCTAATGATCCTAACTTCTTCATGGATTGCAATCCCTGTGCTTAGCACTGTATCTGACACATAGCAACATTCAAATAATGTTTACTAAACAAATGAGAATAGATAATAAGATGACACACACAGCTTCTTCTCTAATATGATATTAGTAGCTATACCATCAACCACAGTATATAGCTACACCTACAATTACAGAAGCTAACATGCTATCTCTTGAATTAAAAAAAAAGCAAAAGCTAACTAAAAATCTTCTAACTAACTTGGTATTAGCCCAAACACTAGATTATAGTGAACATTACAGTTTAAAAAGCACATTGCAACTACATACTTTCCATGATCTATTTCCCTCTTATCTTGTAAAGAAAAATATTTACATTTAAAATTACTGGTAATTATTTACATTGAAAATTACTTGTAAGAACTAGTCAAGAATAACTTACTGGTAATTTTGCTGATTTAAAAACAGAAGGACTGGCAAGAGTTTGTTCGTGGAGATTAGAATAATCACTAGGACTTTCGAAAGGATTTAAAACGGGGATCCTTCCTGGAGTTTCTGGTGTTATTTGCATTTTTGATTCTTTGACATCTCCCATAGCACAAAGAGAAAACTAAAAAGAAAACAGAAGTATGGAAGTTAAAACTATAAATTCCACAGATACTAATTTTGACAATTAAAATGTATTCAGCAAAAACATGTTTCATGAAAAGAATTAACTCCAAACCTAAAGCTCTTGGAGCTGTTATATAGTTTATAAAAAAGCAGCACCTATAGTTAGTTTCTCAAGTGATCCTAGAAACAACCTTGAAAGCGAAAGAGGGAAGGTATTAATGATACCATCTTGCAGAAGAATTAACAGTTCACAGAAGTTAAATGGCTTAGAAGTAGCAGTCAACCAAATATGAACGAGTTCAGCTCTGCCTTCGAGGTAACTAAATGCTACAATGGCACAAAGCCCTTTTCAACTGAAGGACTTACATCTGTCTATGGTTTATTATCTCACTCTGAAGGTTCTTCGGATACCCCAGCACTCCCTATCAAACTGCAGTTGTTATCAAACAACTCTTTGTAGCAAGCAAATAAGAGATGAGGAAGCTTGTGCACGGGCGCCTTTCTTGCACATAGGCCTTAGGGGATCGGAAATTAACCGCCTTTGGTTTGCCTTTCCTCCAACACCCTCTTTTCGCCAATACCCCCAGGATAGAAAGGGAGACTGCATTACTTCCAGTCAAAGGGGTCTACAACTAGAGGAAAAGAAGAGTCTACTTCTACAAGGCCGAAGTGCAGCTGGCTTTCCCGGGTGAAGAGCAGAGGCGGTGTCACCCCCAGCCCTGCGCGATCACTATCCTGGTGCCCCTCTCTTTGGCACCTTCTCCCCGCCTGCTCCCATTCACCAAGGCGAGCAGGCAGGCAGGTCGGAGCCGTGAAAGATGAGCTCTCCAATTCGAGACAGGAGGAAAGGCCAGAGACTACGAAGAACGTACCTACTGCAGTGTGTAAAAAGGAGGCCCCGATACCGACTCCAGGGCGCTCCCGGGGGGCCAGGCCAGCTCCCACGACAGACACAGACTCTTTAACTCCCCGCTTCCGCGCTGCCTTAGGCCAACCATGGCACGGGCCTCGTATGCGACTGGCCAATCGCATCGCGCCGCTGTCCGCGAACCAGCCAATCGCACGGGGGCCGCGTAGTAAATTCGAATGGCAACTCCTGGCTCCAGGTTCCGCGCAGAGTAAGGCGGATCCAAATTCAAATCAACGCAGCCTCACGCTGGCGGCGAGCGCGCGGGGCGGGGCCTGGCCGGCGTGAGCGTGGACGCGCGGCGTGACTGCCCGGGAGAAAGGAAGGCGCTGCAGTTCCGCGTCAGACCCTTCGCCCGCTTCCCTCGCTCTCCACCATGGCGAGTAGTAGCGGCGCCGGGGCGGCGAATCTGAACGCGGTGCGGGAGACCATGGACGGTGAGTGCTCGTTGCGCAACCTTTACCTTGCCTCCGCCTCCCAGAGCCAAGGGCCCCGGGCGGGGGTGAGCGTGGGGAAGACTTTAGGTCCCCTTCCAGCCCCGAGCGGCATCCTTGAAGATCTTCGCAAGGCACCCGTCAGGGCCGCCGGGCCGGTGGCTTCGTCTGTTCGCTCCTGCGTACTTTGTCGCTTGCGCGGCGTTCCAGCCCCCACGTCCGCCCGTTGCGCTTCCCGTCCCTCTCGCGTCGATCGAGTGCCGCGCCCCGACCGCGCGCCCACCGCCCCCTGTCCTCCGCTGACGGCCCCGCGCGCGTCCGTGCGGAGCGCTTCGGAAGCCCCCAGCCTGCGGACGGGGGCCGTGTGTGTTTGGTCACCAATGTGTCCCTTGCCCCTGGCACTTAGCAAGCGCTTGCCAAATATCCGGCCAGTGAACAAGTCTCCATGAGAATCACCCCAGGCGTGTCTTGAAGCGGGTGACGCCAGTGTCTGGGTGCTGTGGGCATCGTTTGTTTTCGCGCCCCAAGGCACGTGGACGTAGAGCCAACACAAGCGTAGTAGGAGACGGAATAAGTGTCTTGGAATTATTCTGTCTTGACCCTCTGTTACCCCTCTGGCGGGACTGGACATTTTGAGCCTGTTTCTTTTGTCCTGTAAAATAAAACCCTACCTCCCAGGATTATTGTGAATGTGTAAGACAGACAACCAAGTGAAGGCATATCAAAGGTGATCGATTATTTTTTGTGTTATAGGAGATGTCATCCCACTTTTGGAATCCTTCCTTTTGTCTTCATTTTACTCACATCCACCTATATGAGCGTTTGCTGGACGTTAAATATTACGGTTTGCAGTCTGCTTCAACATTTTTGGGGGGGATACCCACACTCTAATTCTCACCAGTTAGTGTCAACTTCCCTGCTGTAAATCTGTCTCCTTCCCTGTAGACTCCACTTCTTATGTAGCCCTTCTAAATGCGGGCTTCTGGCTTTTTCTGCACTGGCTGCTGTTTTCCTTTTCAAAGTATTGCTTATACTAATAGAGGCTTTGCTTCTAATTTTTTACTTATCCAGTATTTACTTTGCTGTTTTTCTGATTATTTTACTCTTAACACCATAACCAGCCTATTTTTCCATCCTTGTTGTATCATAGCTGATTAGTTTTATTTTGTAAGTGTATTTATGTACAGAAGTTTATGTGTATAGTGTTTTCTGTTTTTCCTTGGAAGTCACTTTTTTGAACAGGATGGGGAGTTTGAGGCCTCACTTCCAGCTAATTTTCTTAAGTTAGCTGTGCTTAGGTTCCTTTTTTATATCCATCGGATCCCCACTTGAATAGAAAACTCACATTTTATCTCTGGTGGAGCTACTGATGTACAAATGAAAACTGATAGTTTGTGTTGGTTGTATTATCAAGACGTTTTCTGAGAGAACTCAGTGTAAAATGAAGATTATAAGGAGTGTAAGAACATGACAGAGTGAGGACCAGAGATTTTTGTAAAACAAAAATTGGAGGAGAGAATGTGTGGGGTTTCATTGTATTTAGATTAATCCATGAGAGCCAACATTGAATTTTCAAAACTTTTTGAGTTCCATTTCTTCCCTTAGTGGCAGCATATGTCTGCCCTCCTTCAAAATCTAGTATATTTTCCTCATCCTCTTCCCCCCTTCCTTCAGTATTAGAGTCAACTAACAATGATTTAAACTGTTCAACTACCTTTTCAGCTACCCCCCCTTCCTGCAATGTACTTATTTTGCTTCTTTTGCTTTTCATTGTTTTTAAATTTTAGATACTCTCTTTTGATAGCTTCATACATTAGTTTTTATTTTCTTATATTCTAAAATTTTTCTTATACCTCTGATTTTAATTTTACTACTAATAGTTAACGTTTTTGACCTGATATCTTACCAGAGACTGCAGGGTAGTTGTACTTTATATATCAGGTAGTAGGCTTAAGAAATGCATTATAGAGAAAAGAGTTAAGAGAGACCACAGTGTATTGATTCCACATGAATAACACTGCAAAGCAGTGTTAGCGAAACAAATGGATGGTCCATGCTACTACCATAAATCCAGTTGCTCCTTCAAGAAACAACCTGGGAGTTATTCTCGCTTTCTTCCCCCCACCCCCACTGTCACCTCCTATTCTTCATAAGCCCTTTCAATTCTTATCTCAGATTTAACCACTTAATCTCTCTTGTCCATGCCGCCCACCAGTCTTTCACCAAAATTGCAATAACATAACTGGACTTCCTCACCACATGTGCCCTGCCTTTTTTCAAGATCCATTCCATATTCAGCCAAAGTCTTCAAAATGCAAATTTGATCTTCTTACACTCTCATTTTGTATCTTCCAATAGCTTCATTCACCTCCTTAATTACATTGCATTTACACTAATCCTTCAGGTCTGTGAATTTACCAAGTTCTCGCCCATGTAGGAGCAATTGCACAAGGTGTTTTCTTTTCTCTCACTCTACCCTTCCTCCTGCCTCTGTATTAATCTGGTCGATTTTTACTCACCCTTGAAGTTTAAGCTTAATAGTCATTTCTTCAGACAAGTCTTTGCTAAACACTGTGTCCTTCCAAGCTTGGTAAGATGCCCTTGTAATTTGTTTCAGAATTATGCTATTCTTTTCCCTTATTTTATGTTTTAACTGTAATCAGTTATTTTAATATTTCTGTCTTCGCCTAGACTGCAGTGTCTATGAGGACTGGGACCATAACTGTGTCATTCACAACTATATTTCCAGCAATAGCATAATAGACACAAAGTACATATAGATACAAATTGAACAGTAGGCACTAAGGAAATAGTTATTGATTACAGACAGTTTGTGAAAATAGAAAGTAAAGATCAGTGTCAATTTAAAAAGAGTGATTAAAGGAAGAAATACTAGAAGTGAGATGGACCCAAAAGGTAGCATGGGGGAAGGGAGGAGAAAAAGCAGAGAAGGAAAGCATGAACAAAGGCATGAAGTCAGGAAAAAGCATAGCATTTATAGGTAGGGGTCTGCCATGAAGAGAACAACTGGGGAGAGAGGAGAGAATCAACTGAAAATCTGTTAGAAGCAAGTTAAAGAAAATGAAGATTTAAGGAAAGCATGAACAAAGGCATGAAGTCAGGAAAAAGCATAGCATTTATAGGTAGGGGTCTACCATGAAGAGAACAACTGGGGAGAGAGGAGAGAATCAACTGAAAATCTGTTAGAAGCAAGTTAAAGAAAATGAAGATTTAATGGTACAGATCAAGCACTTGCTGAAACTTTTTGCTCCAAGCATATAAAAATGATAGGAAATAATAAGAAAATGTAATTATTGGCATGCCATGTTAAAAACAAGAAAGGGAAGTCTCCATTGATTAAAAAGAAAGAGGTTTCCTTCAAAAGAAAGGAGCAGATGGGAACCACAGCAGGGATTGGGAATAGAACCTTACAAAGCATGCTGCCCTGCCTGAGTGAAGCTGGGAGTCAGAAATGTGCCATCTGCCAGGGCCAGTGGTTGAGAAGTATCATCCATGTGTTGTCTAGGTCTGGAGCCAAGATGCTTCTTCTATAGGGCCTGATCTGGAGGGCTGAGGCCAGGGTAGTCTAAAACTGTGTCACCAATCCAGGACATACAAAAGAAATCTATGGAAGATGAGTTTTCAGCCAAGAATCACAAATCATCTAAGGTAGATGAAAAACAAAAAACAGGTAACATGGAAAATGAGAGAGAGAGAAAGAAAGAGCTAACCCTTTTATTGAGCACTACCATATGCCAAGCACCATCTTAAGTGTATCCTTTAATCCTCATACCAATCCTATACAATAAGTACTATTATTATCTCCATTTTATATGATGATGAAATAAAGGCCCACAGTAACTTACCTAGTAAGTAATAAAGCTAGAATGAACCCAGGTAGTTCTGGGTTCTGGCTCTAGAGATCACACTCCTAACCACTCTCTCTTGCTGCTTGCTTATACTTCAAGAAATAGAGATAATAATAGAACCATCTCAAAAATAGTTGAAACATAGTCTTAGATAAAGGCAAGAACAATAGCCACGAAATAAGTGGTTTATAATGCTTGTTTATATTCAGCACTCAGGATCGCGCTGTGTCCCGACATGGGTGCTCCATTCCCGCCGCCATTTTCCCTCAGCCCTAGAAATCTTAAAATACATTTGTTGGAATAAATTCGGGAGATAACTTGAATAACAGGCTGGATACAGCTGAAGAGCAAAGTATTAGTATATTGAAATATCAAAACCGAAGACATGAAAATGGGAAGGGCTGTCAGCCTCCAGCCAAGATGGAGTAACAGGAACCAGGATTACCTTCTTACATGAAACAACCAACAAAACCCAGGTGAAACGTACAGAACAATGGTTTTCAGGACACTGGACATCAGGTATCAAAAGACAGTGATCTCTAAGAGATAGGAAACAAATGAAGTGATCACTATGGTTGCCCCAACTCATTGCTCTTAAAGTATGTCCAGGCCTCAGTGCATCGGGGGGAACCAAGTGGACACCCTGAGATGAGCAGAAGGACCATAAGAAACCAGGGAGACCAGGCAGGTAGAGTTTGCAGGATGGAGTGCCTGAGAGGAGAGCGCTGCACAGAGAGAATTCTTGTGATCTGTAGAAGAGTCCCCTTTGAATGTTCAACAGGGTATTGATTAGCATGTGTGTGAAAAAAGTACCAAGAAAGCTGGAGAAAGAATCATCCAAAAGGATTAGAGGGAACAGTACATCATGCTCACACAGGGCTGAGGACAGTGCCTGTATCTGTCAGCCAGAATGGAAAACTTCATAATTCACAAGACGTTGGGTAGAGTACTTAGAAGAGTCTTGCCTCGGTAATGGGGAATAATTAGCCATACACTATCAGGGCTCTGGTTCTGTCTAACAAATCTGAAAAGACCAGAAAGGATCAAACTATTTCTAGATAATTGATCTCATTACAAAGCTCAAAAATATTTATAGAAATTAAAAAATATTCAGCACCCAACAAAGTAAAATACATAATGTCTGTCATCCAGAGATAACCAAGTTATATACAAAGCAGGAAAATATGACCCAGGGTGAAGAGAAAAATTCACTCATTAAAATAGACCCCCAAAATGACACAGATATTAGAGTTAGTAGACAAGGGCATTAGAACTATATTCCATAAGTTTAAAAGTTTAATAGAGGCCTGAAAGACATGCCTCTATTAAAAGACTCAAATTGAACTTTTAGAAATGAAAATGAATGTCTGATATGTATAGGTAGGAAGGGCCCATCTTATGAACATCATGAGTACTCTTTAAGAGTTTTCAGAAGGACTTAGACTTAAATAAATGGGTGACTGAATATTGTTAACTTCCCAAAATAGTACGTAGTTTTCATTCAATTCAAATTAGAATCCAAAGGCTGGCCAGTTAGCTCAGTTGGTTAGAGCACAGTGTTACAGCACCAAGGTCAAGGGTTCAGATCAGCCGTCAAAAGCAAACAAAAACAAATTAGAGTCCAAGTGGAACTTGTTTTTGGAATTGATGAAAAATTTTAAGTTCCTCCAGAGAATAAAAAGTCTTGTATAATGAAAGGTGACAAAGGAATCGTTAACCTACTACATGCAATATAAAGTTAGTAATTAAAATGTGGCTCTGATGCAAGATAGACATACAACATATCTAGGTATATGGGAATTTGTTATGTGATAAAACTGGCATTTCAATTGAGTGGTGAAAGGATAGATCATTTAATAAATTGTATTGGGGCAACTGGCTTATTTCTGGGAGGAGAAGTTAGATCCCATCTTTCACCCAAATGATTACTCTGTCAAATTGTTACAAAAGTTTCTGAACACTCTTTTAAAGCCTTATATATATTACTGACCAAACAGTTCTACTTCCAGAAATTTATTCTAACGAAATAAAATTTAGTATGTACATATACTTGTCACAATATTATTATTAGTTAATGGGGGAAACGAGAGCAATCTAACTCTTAAAATAGTAGAGTGGTGTTAAGTAATATATGGTGTTTCCATAAAATGGAATGTTATACAAGTAATTAAATTGCATTAAAAATAGGAAGATGTTCAGGATAATCCTGATTATGGTGGATAAATATTAGATAGATATTACATGACTGGTAGAATATACACCAAGAGGTAAAAGGCAGTTATGGGAAGGGAGGTTGTAAGTTAATTTTTAAATTTCTAAAACTAAGTAAGGGCAAGACAATACTACATGCTGATTTCCAAATCCTGGGGTGCTATCATGCTAATTCCTTAGTATTGTTTAGTGATATATGAATTAGGGGCTGGCCAGTTAGCCTAGTTGTTTAGGGCGCAGCCTTGTAATACCAAGGTCACAGGTTCACATCCCCATACTTACCAACTACAAAAAAAAAGTACTATGTGCAATTTTAAAATGTTGCAAGCTTCTTTTTTTTTTTAAGTTTTTATATATATATATATATATATATATATATATATATATATCTTTTTTCAGTTCTGCTTGAGCTTTCACGAATTTTGAATACTGGCTTAGATATGGAAACCCTACAAAAAAAAAGTACTATGTGCATATTTTAAAATGTTGCAAGCTTCTTTTTTTTTAAGTTTTTATATATATATATATATATATCTTTTTTCAGTTCTGCTTGAGATTTCACGAATTTTGAATACTGGCTTAGATATGGAAACCCTGTCTATTTGTGTACGGCTTTGTGAACAAGGAATTAACCCAGAAGCTTTATCATCGGTTATTAAGGAGCTTCGCAAGGCTACTGAAGCACTAAAGGTTAGAGGTTCATATATTAGTTCATTCTGAATAAAGATGCTTTTGTTTAGAAAATGATTAATGATGACGTTATGTGAAAAATCCTAGTTAAAGAAAGTTAAACTAACTTCCAGCACCACTAGGAGAAATTTCGAAGACCAGGAGCTTAGTAGCATATGTTCAGACTACAAAAATTACTGCTATCACAGACCATGTTATTGTTTCCCAGGAGTCTCTATTTTTAGGAATTTACTGTGTGGTGGGTGGAATTGTGCCCACTGCAAAAACGATATGTTCAGATTCTAACCCGTGGTACTGATGAATATGACCTTATTTGGAAATATAGTTGACCCTTGAATGACAGGTTTGAACTACGCAGATCCACTTATATGCAGACTTTTTCAATAAATACATTGGAAAATTTTTGGTTGAATGCTTCACACACCTAACCAGTTAAGTAGCCTACTTAACGACAGGCTGTTAGTATTAAGTTGTACAGGGGAGTCAAAAGTTGTACGTAGATTGTTCAGGGGTCAACTGTAATGTCTTTGCTGATGTAATCAAATTAAGATGTGGTCATACTGGATTAGGGTAGATTCTAATCCAATGATTGGTATCCTTATAAGATAAGGGAAATTTGGACACGGATATACAAGAGACAGTACCATGTGAAGATATAGACACAGGAGAATGCCATGTAAAGATGGAGGCAGAGATTAGAGTGATGCATCTATAAGCCAAGGGAAGCCAAGGATTGTTGGCAACCACCAGAAGCTAGAAAGAAGCAAGGAAGGATTCTCTTCTAGAACCTTCAGAGAGAGCATTGCCCAGTTGACACCTTAATTTTGGACTAGTGGCCTCCAGAACTGTGAAAAATAAATTTCTGTTGTCTGAAGTCACCCAGTTTGTGGTACTTTGTTATGGCAGCCCTAGAAATCTAATACAGGTTTTAGTACTAGGAAGTGGGGTGCTGCTGTAACAAATACTTAAAAATGAGGAAGTGTCTTAGGAATTAAGTAATGGATAAAATTGGAAGATTTTTAGTGTTTGATAGAAAAAGCCTAGATGGCCTTGAAGAGACTGTTCGTAGAACTGTGAATATTAAAAGGCAATTCTGGCAAGGGCTCATAAGGAAGAGAGGAGAGCTGTAGAGAAAGCTTTTGTTGTTTCAAAAAGTACATATGTCATCAGGACAGAATGTTGCTAGAAATACAAACGTTAAGAGCACTTCTGGTAAGGTCACAGACAGAAATGAGGAACACTTATTGGACACTAGGAGAAAGGTGATCCTTGTTATTAAGTGACAGAACTTGGCTGAATTATGTTCTGCCATGTTGGAAGGAAAATAGAACGTGTAAGTGATGGACTTGGATATTTAGCTGAGGAAATTTCCAAACAAAGGATGGAAGTTGCAGCCTGATTACTCCTTGTTACTTTTAATAAAATGTGAGAGGAAGAAGTTGAGAAAGGAACTGCTAAGAGAAAAGGATCAGCACTTGATGATTTGGAAAGTTCTCAGTCTATCTGGATGGCATGCTCTGGAGACAGGGCCAAGACTGTGGCTGGACAACCTTTCTGTGATGAAGTTGTGTGTGTAGAACCAGTCAACCATCTCAGGATAAACACTGCCAGCTTGGACTGAGAGGGACAGGGTGAAATGAAGGAAGCTGTCAGACTACTGGTATTCTACAGGCAGGAAAGTGGCTGATAGAGCTGCTCAGCTTTGACTCCTAGAGTGGCTTAGAGACCAGGGGGCTGCTGCTCCCATTATGAGCCCAGAGGGCCACGTTTTAATTACTAAGATTGGGAACAGGAAAAGTATCCTGTGTTCCCTCTCTTGTTTGCATGCACTCTGATTTAAAAATCTCCATTGATTTTATTTCCATGTTTACATAGCAGTAACTCACCATGAATACTCAAACTTCAAGTTAGTGCATCTTAAAACTTGTCCAACAACAAAGTACTTCTCTTTTTTTAAAATTTCTTATGAAAATTGAACTTCATAAAACATGTAACTTACCCATCTTTCCCCATGAATACTCAAACTTCAAGTTAGTGCATCTTAAAACTTGTCCAACAACAAAGTACTTCTATTTTTTTAAAATTTCTTATGAAAATTGAACTTCATAAAACATGTAACTTACCCATCTTCCTGTTTATGTTATTTTCCAGTATGTTCCAATGTTTTAGGGGTTTTTTGGGCTTTTGAAAACCTTTTGGATTTTTAAATCCAACACAAAAAGGTAAACTAAACACATTTAAAGAGCAAAAATTATGAAGAAATATTCATACAACTATCAGTGCCAGCACCCTAGAAGTCCCCTTGCGCCTTACTCCTCAGTCACTAACTCTCCCTTCTGTTCTCCCCTCCAGTAACTATTATTTCTAGTAGATTCTTTCTTTAAACTGTTTTGCTAACTGCACATGGATCTCTAAACAATGCAGTGTAACTTTGTAAAATTTTTGACTCTGTGTGTGCTCTTTTGTTTAACATTATGTCTGTGATGTTCATTTATTTTGTGTGTAGCTATAATGCATTCTTTTTCACTGTAATATCATGTCTCATTGTACAAATATACTACAGCTTATTTATCCTTTCTATTGTGAGTGGATGTTAGGTTATTCCATTGTGGGGCTTTCACAAATAATGCTGCTTTGAGAATTGTCCATGTCTCTCGATGCATATATACATGTAGTTCTGTTAGGTGTGTATCTAGAAGTAAAATTGCTGGGTCTTAGGTTATGTGTGTCTTCAACTTGAGTAGATAATGACAATGTCAAACTTTTAAAAAATAGTTGTATTGATTTTTATTCCCACCAGCAGTATGTGAGTTTCCCTTGTTCCATATCTTTGCCATGCTTATTATTGTGAATCTTTTTAGTCATTCTAGAGTGTTGTATGTATGGGTTTCTCATTTGGTATTATTTGCATTTCTCTGAGTACCAATGAGGTTAGATGCATTTTTACATGTTTTTTGGCCATCATCTTTTGTGAGGTATCTTTTCAAGTCACTTGCCCATTTTTCTGGGTTGTCTTTTCTTTTTGATTGGTAGTCCTTTTTTAAATATTGTGGATATGAATTTTTTGTCAGGTGTACATGTAAGGTTTCTAATTTTTTTAAGAATTATAAAAACTGAAATTTTCTATTTCTTTTTTAACTCACACCTATGGCTTTCGTACAGCAGAAAGAAAAATAACTGAATAATATAATAAGAATAGCTGTTATTTATATGAGTACTTTACTTGTTCTAGTCCCTATGCTCTAATAACACTTGCATTATTTCATCTGTAGTCACAGTAGTGATATGTGACTACTACTATGTATGTAACTACTACTACTATTAGCAGTTCACTGCTAAGTCAACTGAAGCTTATTGTGACTGACTAATTTGTCCCAAGAGCTTACAGTTAAGTGGTTGAGCTGGGATTTAAACTTGGGCTGTCTGACTTCAGAGTTGTTTACTTAACTACTAAGTTTCCTTCTACAATAAAATCTAAAGAATACCTGAGCCAGCTATTTAGAAAGGGATGAAATGGTTATTGGAAGCGAAACTGTTCTTGGGTTGTAGCATGGGAATATTTCCTGGCTTAATATTCTCATAACTCTGTAGATAAAAGAAAAAGAAGTATTATAGTCTTTCATCAATATGTTTCTGAAATTCTATTATAAGAAGATTTGTTTAATACATATCTTTCACTGCTGCAAGAATTTTTGTTTTATTATGCTTGAGTTTGAAAGAGAATAGAATAGGGAGAGATTTTTGTAGTGTACTGCAGTTTGAGTGCTATAAAGGAACCAGAGTCAAACCTAACTGGAGTAGGTGACTGACACGAGCGTTTTGGCATAGTATTTTCTTAGGCAAAATGCAACCCCAGGTGTGAGGATAGGAGGTTCAGAAATACCTATTTTAATATGGCTTTTTCGGCTTTGAGCATACTGGTTATTCTTCATCCAGTGGACCACAGTGAGATGTGAGAGGCAAAAATCAATAATTAAGATTTAACAAAATTAGAAAGTGTAGATCAGTCTCTGTCACACACAAACCCTCTTAAAATGCATTCTCTCATAATCTAAAACCAGTGTACCAGCATCTCATTAAAAGTAGGAGGGGAGGAGATCCTGAAAAGTCTCTAGCAAAGAACAAATGTGAACTAGAACTTTTTCTTGTTCTCTTTAAAATAATTTATGTAATCTGTGTATTTTTATTCTTTTTTTTTTTCCAGAAGGTAACCGGTAAAGGGGATCTTAACCCTTGACTTGGTGTTGTTAGCACCTTGCTCTCCCAAGTGAGCTAACTGACCATCCCTAAATAGGGATCTGTTTGAGTCCGTTTTGTGTTGCTATAACAGAATTACCTGAGACTGGGTAATTTATAAAGAAGAGAGGTTTGTTTGGCTT